TGCCAAGTTTTGCGTACCGAATCTACTCGTATGAAAACATGTGAACAGGTAGATAACTCTCGAGGGAGAGCGACCTGTCGATGTTGTATTCGAGTTGACACCGGAGACAGCGTTCGCATAAATGCAGATAGTCGATGGACGTAGTCTGATTTACCGAAATTAGGTCTGCTCCGTGGTGTGAAGAATTCTCCGGGCAGACGCAATGTCGTGCCGAATACCAGTTCAGCGGCGGAACACTGTATATCTGCCTTCAAGCTCGGTGTGATCCCTAAAAGAACGAGCGGTAAGGTTTCGTGCCAGTTGGCGTTTTTGTGTGCTCGTATAGCACTTTTAAGTTGGCAGTGAAACCGGTTACTTAACCATTTGGTGCTGGGTGGTAGACAGATATGCTTATGCGTATGCATTCCGTACCAAGCAGCCGGGTCAGCGAGGAGAACAGTTAATAGGGGAAACTTTCTCGAATAAAGCGTGGAATTCATCGTCACGCGAATAAAAAGTAACAAGGATTCGGTACACATACATGTGAGTCTATTATACTAATACTATTATTATCGTTATCCGTCATGTCGAGTATATTATATATTAAAAAATATGAAAATATACGACAGACGTGGATAGATGAATCACAGACTCACCGAATTGGCTTCTTTGGAAGATTTGATCAGAAGTCGAGGCGTGTTCCAAAATACGGGTCACCAATTGTAGCGTGGCGTCGAGTTGAGATTAACTGTGAACACCGCTACCAATAAACACGTGCCAAGCGAATCAGAAGGCGAGGGTTGGACGTAACCAAATAGATCCATAAAATCCCCGAGAAGCCAAATATCAGAAGACAGTTAATGGACCAAGTCGAGGTGTATATTTGCTGGCGATCTCGTGGCATCGAAAGGATACCGAGATCGTGCCAGGATACAACCTTGGTTACAGAAGGTAACCGAATTCGCGCGAAGTTACAATCGAAGTGTGTATACAAGAATGGAAGCACAAAATAGCTGTCATTAGCACAGTCAAACAAAAGCACGTTAAAACAAACACTGGTACAGTTGGTTATAATAATAATTGTTTTTATTAAACCAGTCGTGTTCTCGTGATAAATGTGAGTCACTACAGGAGCCCCCCGCTAGAAAGGGTTTACACTTTCGATAAATAGCGGTTTGAATCGTGGGACTGATCGGCTGACGAGCGATTGTAGGACGGAAGAATTGGCGAACAGGAAAGCGATCGTTGATCGTCGAGTTGCCAACGAAGGTCGTTTTCGGAGAACGGTACCAGGAGCGATGTGCTGTATTTGTTGCTTGAGTTGGCATGCTACACGAGAGTGGTTTGTATCCAGAATCTGAAGAGGGCGTTCGTAGGGTGCGGACCAGAAACGCTGCAGACGTAGGACGAAACCACGTTGAGCCAAAAGACCAGAAGCGACCATAACGACCAAGTTCGAGACCAAGCGTATGCCAAGCATTCGAAACCAAATATCGACTGAGTGCGTTGACAAGAGCGTGGGTGATCAGGCCAGCTTTCGCCAAAGTTGACTGAAGTCGACGGAACCAAACGGAGATGGTCGAAGGCGTGGGCTCAGGAAACAAAAAGAAAATCAAAAAAGAGAAGAGTGTAGCATGCGTGTAGTATAGGAATAATCCTACACCGTATCGGTTGTTAACTGTGCGGCTAGTCGCGGAAGCGTACGGGTAACCGTACTCGGCGACCGGAACGTGAGACGGTAGTCTCGTTCGCGTCGCGTGAGCCTGCAATCTCATCCGAAGTCAAGGGCGGCGTGGTCTGCTGATCTGGACGTGAGACTGTCGTCTCGTCCGTAGACGGTGCAGATGACGCGTGCTGTTGACTGGGACGTGAGAATGAGGTCTCAGATGTATCTAGCGTGGGACCTGAAGATGGTTTGAGGATCCCGCTAGTAGGTTTGATAGGTCTAGCATTGAATCTCAGGTTATCAGATAGGGCACTGTCATCGACGTGTGCTGGTTTGAGACGATCAATGCTGACGATCTCGACGCGTCCATATCGATCAACCTTGAAGGTCTTTTCGTGACGAGCGATCACGTGAAAAGGGCCTTCGTAAGGTTGTTGCCAAGGTTTGCGTACCGAATCTACTCGTATGAAAACATGTGAACAGGTAGATAACTCTCGAGGGAGAGCGACCTGTCGATGTTGTATTCGAGTTGACACCGGAGACAGCGTTCGCATAAATGCAGACAGTCGATGGACGTAGTCTGATTTACCGAAATTAGGTCTGCTCCGTGGTGTGAAGAATTCTCCGGGCAGACGCAATGTCGTGCCGAATACCAGTTCAGCGGCGGAACATTGTATATCTGCCTTCAAGCTCGTTGTGATCCCTAAAAGAACGAGCGGTAAGGTTTCGTGCCAGTTGCCGTTTTCGTGTGCTCGTATAGCACTTTTAAGTTGGCAGTGAAACCGTTTACTTAACCATTTGGTGCTGGGTGGTAGACAGATATGCTTATGCGTATGCATTCCGTACCAAGCAGCCGGGTCAGCGAGGAGAATAGTTAATAGGGGAAACTTTCTCGAATAAAGCGTGGAATTCATCGTCACGCGAATAAAAAGTAACAAGGATTCGGTACACGTACATGTGAGTCTATTATATTAATACTATTCTTATCGTTATCCGTCATGTCGAGTATATTATATATTAAAAAATATGAAAATATACGACAGACGTGGATAGATAAATCATAGACTCACCGAATTGGCTTCTTTGGAAGATTTGATCAGAAGTTGAGGCGTGTTCCAAAATACGGGTCACCAATTGTAGCGTGGCGTCGAGTTGAGATTAACTATGAACACCGCTACCAAGAAACACGTGCCAAGTTAATCAGAAGGCGAGGGTTGGACGTAACCAAATAGATCCATAAAATCCCCGAGAAGCCAAATATCAGAAGGCAGTTAATGGACCAAGTCGAGGTGTATATTTGCTGGCGATCTCGTGGCATCGAAAGGATACCGAGATCGTGCCAGGATACAACCTTGGTTACAGAAGGTAACCGAATTCGCGCGAAGTTACAATCGAAGTGTAAGTAAAAGAATGGAAGCACAAAATAGCTGTCATTAGCACAGTCAAACAAAAGCACGTTAAAACAAACACTGGTACAGTTGGTTATAATAATAATTGTTTTTATTAAACCAGTCGTGTTCTCGTGATAAATGTGAGTCACTACAGGAGCCCCCCGCTAGAAAGGGTTTACACTTTCGATAAATAGCGGTTTGAATCGTGGGACTGATCGGCTGACGAGCGATTGTAGGACGGAAGAATTGGCGAACAGGAAAGCGATCGTTGATCGTCGAGTTGCCAACGAAGGTCGTTTTCGGAGAACGGTACCAGGAGCGATGTGCTGTATTTGTTGCTTGAGTTGGCATGCTACACCAGAGTGGTTTGTATCCAGAATCTGAAGAGGGCGTTCGTAGGGTGCGGACCAGAAACGCTGCAGACGTAGGACGAAACCACGTTGAGCCAAAAGACCAGAAGCGACCATAACGACCAAGTTCGAGACCAAGCGTATGCCAAGCATTCGAAACCATATATCGACTGAGTGCGTTGACAAGAGCGTGGGTGATCAATCCAGCTTTCGCCAAAGTTGACTGAAGTCGACGGAACCAAACGGAGATGGTCGAAGGCGTGGGCTCAGGAAACAAAAAGAAAATCAAAAAAGAGAAGAGTGTAGCATGCGTGTAGTATAGGAATAATCCTACACCGTATCGGTTGTTAACTGTGCGGCTAGTCGCGGAAGCGTACGGGTAACCGTACTCGGCGACCGGAACGTGAGACGGTAGTCTCGTTCGCGTCGCGTGAGCCTGCAATCTCATCCGAAGTCAAGGGCGGCGTGGTCTGCTGATCTGGACGTGAGACTGTCGTCTCGTCCGTAGACGGTGCAGATGACGCGTGCTGTTGACTGGGACGTGAGAATGAGGTCTCAGATGTATCTAGCGTGGGACCTGAAGATGGTTTGAGGATCCCGCTAGTAGGTTTGATAGGTCTAGCATTGAATCTCAGGTTATCAGATAGGGCACTGTCATCGACGTGTGCTGGTTTGAGACGATCAATGCTGACGATCTCGACGCGTCCATATCGATCAACCTTGAAGGTCTTTTCGTGACGAGCGATCACGTGAAAAGGGCCTTCGTAAGGTTGTTGCCAAGGTTTGCGTACCGAATCTACTCGTATGAAAACATGTGAACAGGTAGATAACTCTCGAGGGAGAGCGACCTGTCGATGTTGTATTCGAGTTGACACCGGAGACAGCGTTCGCATAAATGCAGACAGTCGATGGACGTAGTCTGATTTACCGAAATTAGGTCTGCTCCGTGGTGTGAAGAATTCTCCGGGCAGACGCAATGTCGTGCCGAATACCAGTTCAGCGGCGGAACATTGTATATCTGCCTTCAAGCTCGTTGTGATCCCTAAAAGAACGAGCGGTAAGGTTTCGTGCCAGTTGCCGTTTTCGTGTGCTCGTATAGCACTTTTAAGTTGGCAGTGAAACCGTTTACTTAACCATTTGGTGCTGGGTGGTAGACAGATATGCTTATGCGTATGCATTCCGTACCAAGCAGCCGGGTCAGCGAGGAGAATAGTTAATAGGGGAAACTTTCTCGAATAAAGCGTGGAATTCATCGTCACGCGAATAAAAAGTAACAAGGATTCGGTACACATACATGTGAGTCTATTATATTAATACTATTCTTATCGTTATCCGTCATGTCGAGTATATTATATATTAAAAAATATGAAAATATACGACAGACGTGGATAGATAAATCATAGACTCACCGAATTGGCTTCTTTGGAAGATTTGATCAGAAGTTGAGGCGTGTTCCAAAATACGGGTCACCAATTGTAGCGTGGCGTCGAGTTGTGATTAACTATGAACACCGCTACCAAGAAACACGTGCCAAGTTAATCAGAAGGCGAAGGTTGGACGTAACCAAATAGATCCATAAAATCCCGAGAAGCCAAATATCAGAAGGCAGTTAATGGACCAAGTCGAGGTGTATATTTGCTGGCGATCTCGTGGCATCGAAAGGATACCGAGATCGTGCCAGGATACAACCTTGGTTACAGAAGGTAACCGAATTCGCGCGAAGTTACAATCGAAGTGTAAGTAAAAGAATGGAAGCACAAAATAGCTGTCATTAGCACAGTCAAACAAAAGCACGTTAAAACAAACACTGGTACAGTTGGTTATAATAATAATTGTTTTTATTAAACCAGTCGTGTTCTCGTGATAAATGTGAGTCACTACAGGAGCCCCCCGCTAGAAAGGGTTAACACTTTCGATAAATAGCGGTTTAAATCGTGGGACTGATCGGCTAACGAGCGATTGTAGGACGGAAGAATTGGCGAACAGGAAAGCGATCGTTGATCGTCGAGTTGCCAACGAAGGTCGTTTTCGGAGAACGGTACCAGGAGCGATGTGCTGTATTTGTTGCTTGAGTTGGCATGCTACACGAGAGTGGTTTGTATCCAGAATCTGAAGAGGGCGTTCGTAGGGAATGCGGACCAGAAACGCTGCAGACGAAGGACGAAACCACGTTGAGCCAAAAGACCAGAAGCGACCATAACGACCATGTTCGAGACCAAGCGTATGCCAAGCATTCGAAACCAAAATATCGACTGAGTGCGTTGACAAGAGCGTGGGTGGCCAATCCAGCTTTCGCCAAAGTTAACTGAAGTCGACGGAACCAAACGGAGATGGTCGATGGCGTGGGCTCAGGAAACAAAAAGAAAATCAAAAAAGAGAAGAGTGTAGCATGTGTGTAGAACAGCGACATGACCTTTATCGGCGTTTGTGTAATTCAATGTTTCTCCGAGTGGTAAACGTCGTTTCATAGTGTTGACTAAAAATTCATATTTCTCTAAAACGTCCATTCCCATTATAGTTAGACCTGGATCCACTGTGGTGAACACCTAGTGGGGTCGCCTCCCAAGCCCCAAACATATCGTCAGTGTTTTCTGACCAGAGGTCGCGGTTTTAGTTTTGTTGGCAGCTTGAAGTTTAACTGGGGACATTTTCCGGCCCAGCTCCTTTTCGTTCTGAGTAATGGCACTGAGTGGAGCACCAGTATACACCGAAACGTTCAAGCCCGAATCTCTGTCTCTAACATAAAACAATCGACTGCTGATGCACACCCCGATAGCCCCGACCTGTATCGGGGTTATTCTTTTCCCATATTCTTCGGATATTGCTTAGACCAGGCACATGGATGACTGCACCTGGTTGATTCGGAGCCAAGCTTCCAGTGATATCAACAGAACTGTCCAGACCATTTGGACACTTGAGATCTGCTCCTGTTTCTGCAATCTGTTTGGATTTTAACGACAGTCTGGGTGAAACTTTTGACACTCTCAATGAGTCCTGCCATGGCTAAGTCTTGTAATGACTTTACTTCTGGTGCTGGACTGGTTTACTGTAAACTGTCGAGTTCATATAAAGTTGAGAGGTCTGGCGCTTGGTAACAATAATAACTCGTAAGAACAAGGTCAAAATGATATGTCCCAACTTTCCGAGGGTGTCTAACCGAGTCAATTGTGTTTGTCTCATTGCGAACTAAAGGACGTAGATGTATGGCGTAACAGGTTGGGTTGCAGGGGTTGACGTTGCCACAGATATCCAGAGTTTGACAACTTTTTTGCCCGTGAAATTTATACAATCGAAGCATCTAAGGTGGCTAGTAGTTACAAGGGATTCGTAGCATGACGTACCCACTCGTGATTTAGTGCGGATGCGTGACCGAGCGTGTTCAGTTAGGCTACGTCTAAAAACACCAACAGGGTTGGCATTGATTTTGATGACTTACAGAACTTCAGTTGGAGGATATATTTGCTGCTTTGTGTTTTGCATTGAATACAACGTTGCAGATACTCATAGTATGAACACATACTGATCTGGAATTCATTATTATTTACTAATGACTTCTAGAACTTGCGTTTGATGTGTTATTTATAGCCACAACTCTTCCGCCACTTATGATGTATTGATAACCTCACTTTTTCATCAGACGGGATTGCAGTTTCAACCAGTATGTCGTCGTTAGACACTTCTCTTTTATCTCGCTATTTCCAAGATAATCCTTCCCGTTTTTAGGACTTTCTTTGACCGAACATACCTTGGTGCTGTCGATTCTGGCGGTTTCCAGAATCCAACCGGCAGATGCAGTCTGTTCCTTTTAAAGGTTCCTTTGAGATGAGACGGGAACCACTCGTACGTGCTCGAGAATTCCAGATAAGAAGTGTCTAAAAATGCACTTATTGAAGGTCCGTTGACTAATAGCCTCTCGCACACGTATCAACAACCATGTTGTAATTCTATATTGTAGATGAGCTGGCCTAGCCCTTGTCGGTGGATTAGAATTTCACGTTTAAGCATAGCCCTCTTCGAAGTGTCGTGAGGTTGATAAACACCACCAGTGTGTGACGTACTTGTTAGAATGATGCGGTAGTTCCTTCACTACTGAGATAAATTGAGTATGCGGGTCTATCACGTCGTGCTTGTGAAAGTCAGCTTATGCTTAGTAGAATCAGGCTTCTATACCGTCAAACCAGAATGTTGTAAGTTGAAAGGTTGGGTGCATAAGAGTTTTAATCTTCAGGAGATCGGTTGTCTGTTCCGTTATAGTAAATAAAAAATATACATTGGCGAGAAAAACAAATACTTGAGTACCTTAAAACAATATTATATATGTAAAAATAAGAGTTGAAAAATGTCAGGATGTCCCAACGAGAAACAGACTCACAGTTTGTTTTTTAATGTACCAAGTCATCTCGTGTTCACCGCTAAACATGCCACAGGTATTCGAAGTTTGGCAATGCCCTTACATGTGTAGTGTGGCGTCGAGTCGAGGTTAGCTATGATCACCACTACAGGAAGGTTGAGTACCAAATATCAGAAGGCGATTGAAGGTTGTAGCGATATATATTTGTTGGTGATCTCATGGTATCGAAAGAATACCGAGATTGTACCAAAGGAGTACAAGCGAATTTACTGAGCAAACGTAAGTTTGTGCAATGTCACAACCAACGGAAGGAAGAATGGAAGAATAATGGATGTCTTTAGTACAGTTAAACAAACAAGCACAATAAAACAATCACTGGTAAAATTGGTCATAATAATAATTGTTTCCATTAAACCAATCGCGTTCTCTTGATAAAAGTAGGTCACCACACATGTAACACCTTTATAATTGAAGTATGCCAACCCAATCAAATAGGAAGTCAGAAGCGAAGAGCCTCAAAGATGCATATGATAGGCTATCAGTATTATCGAGAAGTGATCAACATAAGCTGGTTAGTTGTTTAAGGAGATGTGTAGAACGGTGTACCCACTAGTGGTCTGGAGCGAATATGCGATTGGGCACCTTCAGATAGGTGCGTTCAGTAAAACCAATGCGGTCAGCATCACTGTCGAAGAATTACAAAACAGTTTGAAGATCCTTAATCTTACAGATAACATGAAACAACTCGAAAACATTAAAATTGAATAATCAGTGGCGCTAAAAACATGTATCTAGACGAAAGGCTATTTTAGGTATTGAAAAAATATTGGAAAACCAAGCGATGATAGAATTAACACGAAGTTAAAGGTTAATGACATCTGACACGAATTTTATACGCGAATCATCAACAGTATCAGAGCCATGTAACCTCAACAGTATATAAATAATTTGCACATCTATGATAATTAAAAGTAACTGAATCGATGCGCTAAATAAGAATTCCTAGGGTAGTAAGACTTAGAGATTGAACTAGTTGAGTACAACAGGACGTATCGTATTTGGATATCCAATTAATCGCGGAATCAAATACAAAGAAATTATCAATTAGTACATATAATACAGTGACTTAGGGTAGAGTTAACATTTTGACATTTGAAGGGCTTGAATTCAAAACCGTTCAATGTGTGCGGAATACAGTATTATTTTAGGGGGATTTATTTACCGCTATACCTGCTTAGCCATATTTATCAATAAAATGATTCTCATGTGAAAAACTCCAAACAGCCAACTAAAACTGAACAAACTCAGTTGTGCGTAACATAAGTGTTTACAACCAACTAAGTCATTATATCAGTTGGTGAACCCTAAATTTCATAACTTTTTGATCTATCACATTTTTTCACATTCTTTTTTGTTATTTGTAGTAGTTCACTGCTCAAATAACCAGGTTTACACCATTAGTCTTAATTTCACAAATAAGAACAATTATTTTCCACTTTATAATACTAGTAGACAAATAAAAATGATTATTTCAGTACTAAATAGCATGATCGACAATTTAAACAATATGACATGAAGTTTAGGCCTTAATCCTGATAAGAAATTAATTTTCATCGGAAAGATAACATTATTCTCAGCCTCATTGGTCAGTATCTGACGCTGTATATTTTATTGACTTCTCAAATTTCTTAAATATATAGGATAAAAAATACAATGTACAACTCGGTCGGAAGTAATATGATAATTTAACGGCCGGATTAAGAGGATTAGCAGAAAAAGCCTATAAAAACAAGTAAGAATTATGATTATGAGAAAATTCAGCACATCTCACCGGGAAACTTCTCGATCTCAAGTAAAAATAAAAAATGACTACAGATGGTGCATTAATCCAGGTAAATTAATGGTTTGAAAATCAGTATGGTCTTTTATTTTATCGCAGATTCGGATGTTCTACGATATAGATGTTGATAAGTCTGGAGCTGTCGACTGCGATGAAATAAGAGAATACTTGATCAAAAAAGAATTCGATGAATGCTTCATTACGGTATACATGAAAAGAATTCTCCAAATATGAGGTACTGATTTTCTGTAAAGATTTCTCAGAACTTTTGATTCAAATCGAGATGGCATGATAACCTTTGAAGAATATCAAACAGGAATACATAAAATTTCACATTTGCATAAAAAGTGAGTTGTACTATTTGTTAAAGGGATTAATTAGTGTGTAAAGAAACGAAATTTCAATTAAATTTTTGTAGTTTTATTAGAAATTTGAAAACTTTCACTCTTATTGTGATTACTATTGTTATCAGATTAATTAAATTCAAAAGTGAGGTCTGAATTGTGAGACTGATGAAGACAATTTACTCCTCGTTTATATGATCTCCTATACCCGGTTTTAAGGGAAATACATTGTTTCATGTCTGTTTTAATGGTACATCTCATTAATAACTCCTTCAGAATTGATAGTATGTGTCTCCTGTAGACATTTAATTCTTCCAGAGATTAAATTAAGCAAGCATTAAATATATAAACGAGTTTCTACCGGATTATAAAAGTTAGTTAGTGGTTCGTTCATAAATATCAGATTTTATGCATTATGAAGTTTAGATAAAAAATTATTCTAATGAAGGACCGTCCGTTAGTAATAGTTATCTAACAATAAATAGTAACCAGGTTTCTTAAAAAAAAACTGTACGTATTAAAACGAATGTCATTATCAAGCCACTTTAAATAGCAATTCACCTTCTATATCAAACTGGTACTAACTTGAAAGTTAGAAATGTCTTACAGTTTTTGATGAGTGTATGTTTTACCTCTAACTAATTAACTTCAGTAAGTCATATTTCAAAAGAATCAGTAAGACTGTTTACGTATTTAACAGAAGCGATTTAATGGAAAGTAGCAAATCATCCATAAGAATAAAATCGAAAAGAACAGCTTTCGAGGTATACCAACTGCAGTTATAGAAAGGGTGGTATACTTTTTTATGTGCAATATACCGCTCTCTTCTAGCAATATCAGAACACAGGTGATTATTTATTCCGCTGTCTTTATAAGAGTAAACTTGTTCAACAAGAGATATCAAAACAGAGTAATAATTATAAGTATCGCCTAAGAAACAGTACCGAACACGGTTTATACACTTATTAAACTGTGCACTGTATTGTGATGTAGCATGACTGAAACTTCAAAGTACATTTTGTACGTTCCTAATTAGATTGATTTTAATCAACACTGTCTTAATGAAAAATCAAATCGTCGCAGCTGCTAGGATGGAATTTATATTTAATATTATTACCACTAAGCAACTTCAGTATACCGAATGTTTTGATGTTTGGCATAAAATTAATCGAAAAAGGTTTATTAGAGATGTATACTAATGGATAATATCGAAAATCCTCATATATATTTTAAAAGAAGTTAACGAGCATCTTCAGGTCAGTATCATCATAGTGAGCTATAAAACTCAAGACATTTTAAAAGATCAATTTCAGTAAATCTTCAGTCAACTTTGCCTCGAAACTGAAAGAATAGGAAACATTGTATCAGCTCCATGATTTACAAGAGAAACTCTACCTCTGGCTACGTCATAAATCGAAAGGAAGTAACATAACAGGGGGATAGTAATTATTTTATTGAAAGATAATTTTTTTAAAAGAAGCCTCAGTGTTTAAACCATCAATATCCATTCTAAAAGATGCTAGAAAAAGGGCGCTATTATTAGCGGTGCACATCCATAAGGGCGAGTATTAATAAGTGTGCACACGAAAAGGCGCATATTAATAAAGGTGAGCATCAAAAGGGGGAATAGAATTTATAAGGGTATGAAATCTGTTCGGTTTACTCTCTATCCCTTTACCTTAACGACTAATCAGAAAAGTAGTTTTCTAAAGGTCAAATGGAGAGTCATCTTTAAACGAATCCCGTAATTTTTCAAATTCGACAACGAAATATATTATTATTATTATTATTATTATTATTATTATTATTATTATTATTATTATTATTATTATTATAAGATTCAGAACCACTATCAACAGGCTGTCTATACTTTTGGACAGAGTATGTACTGTGAGACAAACATTTGTGTTGCCTGAGTTGTTGGTTTTTGGAGATGACCCTTCATTCGGCATACACACTTTATGTAAAAATCATTTGGATTTCAATGACTGCCATATATTGTGAAATAACAGAAAGTCACATTCTCATAAGCTTTTACTTGTCTCAAGTCTGCTTAAAAACATCTATTTGAAGATTTTGTCAACTTCACTGTCTGAAATAGATATGGGAGAGAATATGATACATTTAAAGTAATTAACGTATGTAACACATTATAAACTATAAAAATATATGCTCGATATCAAAATAGTTTAATTCATCAGGTCGTAGTAAACATCTTTACTGTGTGAAGCTTTTAATCTTAGTGAGCTCCCGTTTTTCTTGTAAGCGATATCTGACGTGGGTTTTATTAACATGTATATTACACAAAGTTCTGTTTATTAAATTTCAGGTATTTTAATTGTTATCATATTTTGAAGAAATTAGACAAAGATAAAAATGGTTACATAACTACGCATGAAATATAAGATGTGCTTTATGAAAGTGGTAACAAAAAATATTTTAGTTCAAAGGATTTACAAGCGTTTATACGTAAATACGACCAAGATGGAGATGGGAAGTTGAATTATCACGAATTTTTCGATTATCTACTTGAACAACCAACATGAAAAGGAGGTCCAAGAACGCTGAACATTCCAAAATAATTTAAAATGTACCCAAAAAATGTCTAGTCCTTCGGAAATTGAACCGATAAACAGTAAACGAAAATAATGATCACAGTATTTACATTTATTTATAGTCTTCAGAACACTTATTGTCAGTTGACAATCGTTAAGTGATAATTTCCCACTCTATTTTTCTAGTACACTTATAGTAAAAGCATACATTTATAAACATCTTATTTTTAATCGATCAAACACGTCTTTCTGGTACATATTGATGTCAGAGCTTTGTTAAATGAAGACATATTGTAGTAACTCTAAATGGTAAATACGTTGTTTATTATTACACTTTTTGGTTCATTTTTGTTTGTTGGTTTGCATGAACTTATTTAGTTTTGTCTTTAAGATATATAATGTATACAATGGATACCTGATATTCAATATCTGCCACACAAACGCATATTTAATAAGAATGAGACATTTTAGATCACTGAAACAAACACACGAAACCGAACCACTAAGACACTTGAAAGAAATATTTTGTATATGGTAGATAGCGATGTTGTTGTATGGTTTTTGTAAATGTTCAAGAACACTACACGACACAAATATATCTTCAAATATGTGATTTCCTCACTTAGTGATTCGCCTTTATGATGCGTAAGGATGGTGTACACTGGGTAATTTCGAATATATTAGTGCTCGATCTAAGATGTATTGTGTTAACTAATATAAATGTTGCACACAACATGGAACGTAGCCGTAATATTTAAGTTACTATATTGCATTAAATTGTGTTCTTTTTAAGTTTGTGTTCGCCGTAGATCATTTTTTACGTCTTCTTCAATATTGAGCCCAACTAATTTGACAAAATGACCAGGAAAACCATGATTCCAACGGCATTTTATTTATTTGATTAACTAATTGTTGCATCTATGTTTGTTACCTGGCCTGTATCTATTTTATTCTTAAATTCAACCGCATATTAATACCATGTCGGTTAGGACAACCGCGATAGGGTCGGGAATGTGAGACTACCTGAAATTATGTGTCCGAAGTGCTGTCAGGAAAAAGTTGCTGGTAAGTTCAAATTAAAATAGCATGAAAAGGATGAGCGATAGAATAACATAGGACTAAGGACCCACAGTTGAGACAGAGCCACAACCACGTCATGTCTACAAGTGGACTGAAACGAATGAGGTTTAGAGAGCTTAAGTTTAGTAAACACCTATGAGAAATATGTTAATAACGAGGTTGGGAGGAGCGAACAGTGAAAGTTAACTTCGAACCGTGTAAACTTCCTGTAATGTATGTAAGAGATACGTATTATATGAATCAGCCGCATCTCAATTTGAGCGAAAGCGTCGGATACGACTAATCATAGAGACGTGGAAATGAAACTAAACTCAATTCCTGATACGTTAAACGTATGAGTGGCGGTGGTGTATATAGTAGGAATTTTTCGTGCTACAAAGCCAGGCTATGGAGGCACAAATCAGTGTCGACGGTGTAGGTGGGCATACAGTTGTGCTGGTGTAAGACCTATATGTCTTTTAAAAAAGTGTTTAGTTGTATATGTGTCTGCGTTCCCTCGTTTCTTTTGTTTTAAACCTCGAATTCGCAGTCTATGATATGCTGACCTGAAAAGTCAATGCATCTTAAGTAAGAATGAATTACCCATCCTTAATTTTTTGAGATGTAAGGCTATTATCGATTGATACTATTGAAGACCTAAAATGTTTGGTTACATTAGATCCCGCTCGTATAGTAGTTTATGCTTGTTCGAGAATTAGTATGCATTATCGTGCAGCCTGGAGAAAGACGACGAGAAATGATCCGAGATTTCTACATTACACAGTCATGATCACGTTTAATTCCGTCTGTCCAGATAATTACAATTTTCTGACCAACGCTCGTCGTCGACCACATAAATCGTATCAACTGCAAAGTTGACAAGGTGTAATATAAAATGTGGAAATTCATTATGACGATCATCATTCTGATAGTATTTGCTTAGACAATTTTGATAACGAACTGTCTAGTGACGATAAACATGTGCTTACCACCAACAGAAATTGTTACGATCAAGGAAAAAAAATAAACTACGTTGTTACCGACTACATTTCCACAGGGTTTAATAAAATAGACAGCAATACTTGAATATTTTTATTGAAAAAACTAAACTCATCAAAGAGATTTGTTATTCCACAATCACTGTTAGTTTCTTGCGAACTGTTGATTGGTGAAGAAATTGATTTTACGATTTAATGATATTGCTATTAAATGCTCAATATATATTTTGTTCCACTCCTTTATATTATGGACTCTCCTTTGCTCCCTACAACCTAGCGTTGATGACAGAAAAAAAGTCAAAGAAACCCACTGAGTCGTTAAAAAAATGTGGAGAGAAGA